GCCACCTTAGGTGTATGTGGCTGGCGCCTTAGCCGCTTGAGCCACAGGCGCCGAGCCTCAACTTCTCTTTCATTTTTTCCCCAGCAGTATTTTGCAATAATAAAAGGAGAACAAAAGTCTAAAATTCTAAGTGAAGTGAGAAGTGGATGTATTTGCCCACACAGGGTATCCCAAATGTCATGAATAGGGAAAATGAACTCGTATTTTATATTTTTATATCAACACGTAAAGAAATATTTTATAAAATTGTGTAATGAATATTTTGTAAATAACTGTACCATTTAGCTGCAGTTTCCCATTTTGCCTAGATGTATGTGTGTGTGTATATGGTTACTTTTAGAATACTGCATTCTCCGATTAAAGAAAATAATAAAGGGCCAGCACCTGTGGCTCAAGGAATAGGGCACTAGCCCCATATACTGGGGGTGGCGGGTTCAAGCCTGGCCTGCAAAAAAAAAAAAAGAAAATGATAAAGGAAGATTTGTGCCTCACACTGCAGAGAAAAAGAGATGAATTACAGGTAGATTAAAACTCTAAATGTAAAACCAGAAGAAAATAAGAGACTGTTTTTACAAATAGGCATGGGAAGCATTTTTTAAGACAAATTGTGTATACCAAGAGGATTGATGAATTGAAAACATAAGAATGAGAATAGTTTGCATGTATGATTAAGGAAACCACAAACTTTGTTGACTGGAAAACTGCTAGGACATAGAGGAAAAACTCCGCCTGAATGACAATGTGTGAATAATGTAAATAGGCAATTCATAGAAGAAATATAAATTTCTATAGTCATGAAAAAATATTCAGTCTCACAAGTAATTAAATGCAAATTGCAGCTTTGTGCAGTGGCAGTATTGTAGCCAATGAGATTTATCTGAGGCGTGATTATTGCTAATTGAAAACTTTTCCCAATACCCCGCCATGACGACTTGAAATATAGTTGGCATTGGCAATTTTTGACAGTCTCTGCCGAGACTGAATTATGTCAGTTTAATAAAAGTTAATTTTTAAAAAATGCAAATTGCGTCCTTTGCCCTATCAAATTAACAGAAAATTGGGAGATTGGTAATTATTAGTGTTGATGAGCCTTTGCAGTAACAAAAATCAGAACCAAACTAATGTCCATTAATAGAGGGTAATAAATTATAGTATTTCCATACAGTGGAATACTATCTAGCTGTAGCTGTTAGAACAGAGATTCTCAACCTGCCTAATGCCGCCACCCTTTAATACAGTTCCTCATGTTGTGGTGACTCCCAACCATTGCTACTGCAGTGAAAATAATTTTATAGTTGGGGTCACCACAACATGAGGAACTATATTAAAGGGTCATGGCATTAGGAAGGTTGAGAACCACTGTCTTAAGAGGAATGTCTTTTATACATTGATGTGCCATTATTTCCAGTATAAACTGCTAAATGAGAAGTTGTTCAAAGTATAGACCAATTTTTATAAAAACAAATCTTATGCATTTGCTTTTGAATGCATAAAAAGTGATATAGAAGAATATTTCCACATGTAGTGAGTTAGGAGGATTTTTACCTTATACCCATTTAATTATGTAGTCTTTTCACTAATTATAATTCTTGATTTCTTTTTCATGGTTTATAATGAGCCTAGGGTCTTGTATGTTTGTTTTGGGTTTTTTTGTTTGTTTTTTTATTGGTTTTTTTTGAGACAGCGCCTCAAGCTGTCACCCTGGAAAGTGCTGTGGCATCACACAGCTCACAGCAACCTCCAACTCCTGGGCTCAAGCAATTCTCCTGCCTCTGCCTCCCAAGTAGCTAGGACTACAGGCACCTGCCACAAGGCCCAGCTATTTTTTTGGCTGCTGACATCATTGTTGTTTGGCCGCTGGGCTGGATTCAAACCTGCCAGCCCTGGCGTAGCGCCTTAGCCACTTGAGCCACAGGCGCTGAGCTGGTCTTGTATGTCTGGATTTGAGGTTGAGCTGTGTAATGGTTTAGAAATTCAAAAATGTCCAGACTGAAAATGATTTCAGTACTTTGGAAGTACTGTAGTACTTTGGAAGTACTATAATTCAAGTACTTTGGAAGGCCAAGACAGGAGAATCTCTTAAGACTGAGAGTTTGAGACCAGCCTGGGCCACATAGCAAAACTCCTGTTCCTTGAAAAAAAAATTTTTTTTAATTGGCCAGTCATGGTTCGTGGTGGCATACACTTACCCTAGCTACTCAGAGGGCTGAGGCAAGAGGACCACTTGCGCCAAAAAATTCAGTTACAGTGTGCTATGATCATGCCATTGCATTTTAGCCTGGGTGATGAACTTAAGACCCTGTCTCAAAGTCCAAATAACTGTTAGTATTGTTATGTGCCTTCATAAATATTGAGGGGAAGCTGAAATTGTTATGCAGATTTTTTTTTCTTTCTTGAGACTGAGTCTCACTCTGTTGCCTAGTGTCATAGCTCACATAGCTGGGACTACAGACATCTACCATAAGGCCTGGCTAGTTTTTCTGATTTTAGTAGAGATGGGCTCTTGCTCTTGCTCAAACTGGTCTGGAAGCCCTGAGATCAATCCATCTACCTCCATCTACCTCATCTACTTTGACCTTCCAGGGTGCTGGCATTACAAACATGAGCCACTTCACCAAGCCTGTTAAGCAGATTATTAATAGGAAAGATGCAGATAGCATCTAGCAGAATTTCAACATGTAGGAATTTCACTATTTCAGATTAATAAATATGATTTTAAAGTGTTAAGAGGTGAAAATTCATGGTTTATTCCTTTCTGTAGATTTTTGATGAAATTGAGTCATGAAACTGTAACCATTGAATTGAAGAATGGAACACAGGTCCATGGAACAATCACAGGTATGGAGGTTGGATTCCTTTTTTAATACTTTTGGTGTTTTTTTTTAAATTCTCTTATACTTGCAAACCAGAATTCTTTTTTTGATTGCTTATTAAATATTATTGTAATATAGATCCTCATTCTTTTTGTCTGAATTATTGATTTTTTTTTTTTTAATAGATCTTCTTAAGTAAACCTTGCCTCAAGTATTTGTGCTACAACCACACTTGAGTTCCCGGGGTTATCCTGTTTTTTAGCTTTTATGCCTTTGTTTGTGTGTGTTCCTCTGCCTCGAATGCTGCTTTTTTCAAAATACATTTTAAACTTTAGAGTGTGTATTTTCTTTTTTTCTTTTTTTTTGAGTCAGAGTCTATGTCACCCTAGGTAGCGTGCCATGGCATCACAAGTTCACAACAATCTCAAACTCTTGGGGTTAAGTGATTCTCTATCTCTCTTCTTTTTTTTTTTTCCTTTTGAGACAGAGTCTCACTGTGTCACCCTGGGTAGAGTGCCATGGCATCATAATTCACAGCAACCTCAAACTCCTGAGCTTCAGTGATCCCCTTGCCTCAGCCTCCCAAGTAGCTGGAACTACAGATGTGAGCCACTGCATCTAGCCCTAGGGCTTTATTTTATTTCATTTCATTTCATTTATTTATTTTGTTGTTGTTGTTGTAGTTATCATTGCTGTTCTGCAGGCCAGGGCCTGGTTTGAACCCACCACCACTGGTGCATGGGGCCGGCACCCTGGCCGCTGAACTACAGGTACTGCCTATTTTTTTTTTTTTTTGAGACAAAATCTCACTATATCGCCCTTGGTAGAGTGCTGTGGCATCACAGATTACAGTGACCTCCAACTCTTAGGCTTTAAGCGATTCTCTTGCCTCACCTTCCCAAGTAGCTGGGGCTACAGGCACCTGCCACAACGTCCAGCTATTTTGTTTGTTTGTTTGTTTGTTTTTTGTAGTTGTAATTATTTGGTGAACCAGGGCAGGATTTGAACCCACCAGCTCCGGTGTATGTGACTGGCGCCCTAGTGGCTGAGCTACTGGTGCCGAGCCTGCCTAGCTATTTTTAAGAGAGGGGATGTTGCTCTGGTTCAGGTTGGTCTGTGGCTCAGCTGGTTTCAAACTCCTGAGCTCAAATGAGCCACCGAACTGGTCTTCCCAATTGCCATTTGTATAGTACATGTGCTAAATTATGGCACAAGTATTTATTCTGTAGAAAGACGGTTTGTGTGTGTGTGTTTGGTTTTTTTTTTGAGACTGAGTCTCACTATGTCACTCTCTGTAGAGTATGGTGGCATCACAGCTCACAGCAACCTCAAATTCTTGGGCTTAAGTGATTCTTTGCCTCGGCCTCGCCAGTAGCTGGGACTCCAGGCACCTGCCACAATGCCTGGCTATATTGTTGTTTCATTCGTCATTGCTGTTTTGCTTTGCTGGCCCAGGCTGGGTTTGAACCCGCCAGCCCCAGGATATACCATAACCACTGAGCTTCAGGTACCAAGCCACTATTCTTTTGTAAGTAAAATATTTACTGTGATTTAATAGATTGATTGGTAACCTTCCTTATCATGTTAACAGTTACCCAATTATTTTCTCCTTTAGGTGTAGATGTCAGCATGAATACACATCTTAAAGCTGTGAAAATGACCCTGAAGAACAGAGAACCTGTACAGCTAGAAACACTGAGTATTCGAGGAAATAACATTCGATATTTTATTCTACCAGACAGTTTACCTCTGGATACACTACTTGTGGATGTTGAACCTAAAGTGAAATCTAAGAAAAGGGAAGCTGGTATGTTTGAAAGATTCAAAACATTGTTGCAAATGATACATATTTATACCCTAGTCCACTATTCAAAATATGAACATTGGTAAAGAATACAAGTTTGTTTAAAATGTCCTATAATTGTCATGAATGTACATGGTATATTATAGCTCCTGGTGATGTTAATGGAAAGACTGGCTTGTTCTGTCCAAAGGATTGATTGTTTCTTATCCTATTGTGCATAGTCTTGTCTCTCACTCTCCTCATTTTGGAAGATTTGCAAATGGACTGTATTCCTGATACTGAAATTCCTGAGTAGCTTGGCATAGGATATTTCTCCACTCCCCCCCCCCATCTTGTAATTATTTATTTATTTATTTTAAGAGACAGAGTCTCACTTTGTCACCCTAGGTAGAGTGCTGTGGCGTCACAGCTCAACAGCAACCTCCAGCTCTTAGGCTTAGGCAATTCTCTTGCCTCAGCCTCCTGAGTAGCTGGGACTACAGGCGCCCGCCATGATGCCAACTGTTTTTTTATTGTTATTATTACAGTTTGGCCAGGGCTGAGTTCGAATCTGCCATCCTCTGTATATGGGGGCCAGCTTCATAATTATTTCTTATCTTTTGTTTCCTCTATTCTTCCTGGAATTCTTAATAATTGGGCTTTCTTATTCTGTAATTTCTATCTTTTCTCTCATTTTTCTGTTTACCTTTTTCTTCTGTTTCCTGAAATGTTTCTTGAGCTTGTCTTCCAATCTAGCACATACTTAACAGTCAAGCCTCTTTGTTATCTGATCATTTTTCATAGGATTCCATTCTTGTTTCATGGGTATAACATTTTTTTCTTATCACTGATAGGGTATTTTGCTTTTTTAAGTTTTATTCTGTACTTGGCTGGCATTGTTTTCTATGGTTTCTCTTTTTATTTGATTTTGTTATTTGGTCTTTTTGGTCCAAGCCTATACTTAAGTATCTTTAGACCTTTGACCATCTGTTATTATTTAACAATGACCCTCGGAAAATTCTGGAGAGGAAGCTGGACTCAATACCTAGTGGGGCTCACTCTAAGGTTGTTCAGAAGTAAGTTGGCCTCTTCACTGAGGAGACCCAAAATTTCAGGAATCTGTAACTGGTGGTGATAATTAGTTGTAAACACCACTGCAATTGGACCAGCCTGATTTTTCTATTTTTTGTAGAGATGGGGTCTCATTCTAATCAGGCTGATTTCAAACTTCTGGCCTCAAGCAGTTCTCCCACCTCAGCTAATTACAGGCATGAACCACTGCACCTGGCCAACATGTTGCATCTATAACAGTAGTTTCATTTCCTTAGTTTCCTTTAATCTGTGGCAGTTTTTTTCTCTGTCTTTTGTCTTTCATGACAGTGGCGCTTTTGAAGGCTACTGGTTGATTATTTTGTAGAATGTCCCTTAATTGGAGTCTTAGGCTTGTTCTTCATTGCTTTGAATGATAAGACTAAAATCAATGTGTGTAAATTTAGAATGCAACTGACTTCAGTATCAGTACTTATGTCAGGCTACTCGAATATTCGTAGCCGTCCTAAGATGAATTAAGGGAGGCATCATCATAGTTCATGCCTATAATCCTAGCACTCTGGGAGGCTGAGATGGGAGTTCAAAACCAGCCTGAGCAAGAAAAGTAAGGCCTTATCTCTGCTAAAAACAGAAAAATTAGCTGGGCATTGTGGTAGACAACAGTGTGACACTCCTGTCTCAAAAAATAAAAGAATTTTAAGTTCATTTGGTTGCGATATTCAACTAAAGTTAGATGACCAGGTGACAGGGCTTTTGGTAACATGTGGTTACTTGGAGAAGGGGCTGGCTGATTGTTAGTACTTTTTTTTTTTTTTTTTTTTTTGAACTTCACACCTTCTGTATTTTCACTGGGGAGGGGTGTGGACAGGGCTCACGAGAGATTCAGTCACCATGTCTGTGTAAACTGTTTAGGATGA